GCTTGCTATCGCCATTCGCCTGCTATTGTCATTCGCCTGCTATTGTCCTTTGCCTGCTAATGTCATTTGGCATCTGAAATCACTCCATTTTCCAAAGTATAAGGACAGGTGGACTCACATTCTAGCTGCATCTGAAGAAGTGAGCTGTGACTCATTTAAGCTCCTCCCCTGCCACAAATTTTGTTAAGTCTTTAAGGTGCTCCTGGACTCTCGTTCTTTTCTACTGCTACAGATAGACCAACACAACTACCCATCTAGATCTTCTGCCATCATAGTTATGTGCCACGAAATATATTAAAGACATGCTGCTCCCTTGGTGGTAAGATGTGCCGTGTGGAGGAAAGAGCTTTCAATTTTTGGGGTGTGTGTGTATAGTATTTGTTACAAATTACAGGTAGACCACAAGTGGAGGTAAACGGGCACTCCAGTGGGGCAGCATATCTAGGAAAATGTATTAGATCCCTGGAGGGAAAGATCTTGAGGGGTTTTTTTTCAGTCAGACTCTTTCATATCCCTGCCTGGATGAGAGAAGTCCCCTTCTCCAAGGACTGACAGGTGCTTCTGAGGATTAACACCCATTGAGAACACATCTATAATTATTAAGGAACAAAACTGCTGGCTCCAGTCCCCCGCCCCCAGGCCAAACCCAGTTCACATTGACCCTACTTCAGTCTTGCAATAATGTTCATCCAGCAAAACAGCCTGAAGAGCCTAGACTAGTCCAGGTTTGTCACAGTTTGGAAGCAAAGCAGGTTTGGCCATGATTAATACTTGAAAACAAGGGGGAAAATGCATGTGCCCAAATTTTAACACCGATCATCAATGAATTTAATAATAGTAAGACATATAAAGTACTCAGAACAAATCTTCCGTAAAAAAAACCAGGTAGAAATTCACTGGTAAAGTTGATCACAAGTAGAAATTCACAGGTGGAGTTTTTCCACAAACAATTTGTAATAAATTCAAAGAAAGTCCTTGAACTGTAAGGGTGTGACAGTGTCTCTGCCAGCTGACTCGACGGACCCCTGATTCTAAATCTGTTTCAGAAATTTTCTTTCAAGAATCATGCTGGATTCAACCATTCAAAGATACATGCAGACAACCATAAAGCATATTCAGATACAGCAATCCTCAGTGATCCCCAATGCAGAATCTATCATTTCTTGGAGCCTCCGCCTACTGAAAATGGTGAAATGCTTCAGAAATTTGAAGTGCCCCCTCCAGTGCTCCCAATGCACAGCCAGTTTGGTGTAGTGGTTAAGTGTGCGAACTCTAATCTGGGAGAACCGGGTTTGATTCCCCACTCCTCCACTTGCACCTGCTGATGTGACCTTGGGTCAGTCACAAGCTCTGGCACAGCTGTCCTTGAAAAAGAGCAGTTTGTGTCAGAGTTCTCTCAGCCCCACCCACCTCACAGGGTGTCTGTTGTGGGGAGGGGAAGGGAAAGGAGTTTGTAAGCCGCTCTGAGACTCCAAGTGAAGGGCGGGGTATAAATCCAATCTCTTCTTCTCTTCTCTAAGGTGTGGAGTCTTGTGAGCAAAAATTCTACTTTGTCAGCTGCTGGCATGAAAGCTGTGAGGGAGCGATTTGGCTACTGCCTAAACTAGTTTGGTCCATAGCCATCCTTCCTGAGCTAAGACAAAAATAGGTGAGCTGGAGGCTCAAAAACTGTGAGCTAGCTCACACTAACTCAGCTTAGAGGGAACACTGCCCCCCTGAGTCCTTGGGCTGAGAGATGGCTAAATAGGATACTGTGGCCGATAGCATCAAAGGCTGCTGCGAGATCCAGCAGAACTAGTGTGTGGGGTGGTCACATTTCCTCTTACTTCTTGGTAGAGCTCATCGACCAACAACCAGAGCAGTCTCTGTTCCAAACCCCAGCCGGAAGCCAGATTGAAATGGGTCTGGAAAATCAGTCTCTTCCAAGAGCCCTTGGGGAAGAGGAAGTGGACAGGGAAGAGTTGTTTTTTAAAAAATAAATAAATAAGTGTGCGTTAACAAAATATGTGTCTTCTCCATGTGTGTGGAAGTTGAGTCCCTTAAAGGGTCATCTGGCGGTCCTCCTTTGCTATCAGATGCTTAGGTCTGACGGCACTTAGTTTCTCTCTGGAATTTTTAGCTGCAGGGATAGCCACAGGGGAAAGAAGAAGGAAAAAAACAGTTCCCCAAAGAATAGATTTCCCCACAAAATCCCCTGCTTACCAAAACCCTCTGCTTCTGGACTACTAGATATCTGCATAAATATTCAGGATCCTATCCCTTTGCCAGTCATTTGTAGAACTGGAAACCAGTGCACTTACCAGAATCCTAGGTTTAATATAAATATATATATCCAGTGAAATAATGTGACGTGACTACAGAAGCTTCACTTTAACTCGGCTGTAGGCAGCTGGGTCTGAAAAGCCTGTAATTCTGTAACAAGGTGCCTAAGTTTGCGCTGCAGGCACTCTTATCTCTCTTTTTTTGTGACCTCTGTGACAAATGTCAGACACCAGGACAATGGGGAAATTGGATGGGTCAGGAAACTTTAACTCGGCTGTAGGCAGCCGGGTCTGAAAAGCCTGTATTTCTGTAACAAGGTGCCTAAGTTTGCGCTTTAGGCACTCTTATCTCTCTTTTTTGTGACCTCTGTGACAAATGTCAGACACCAGGACAATGGGGAAATTGGATGGGTCAAGAGACTTGGAAACGGGAAAGGGAGTCTCTCTCTTCTAGGTCACCGCCTCCCCTTTGATTTGGGTCACCAGTAAATGAACAGCCATTACCTTCTCAAAGCTCTCCACTGACCCCTGGGAAGTGAGTTGGTGGTCTCGCCCCCCCAGTACTGAGATTCTTACCAGTGTCCATTCAATCGGTCTTCGATCCTGAAGTTTCGTTCTCGAGTCGATATTATTGTCGGGGTGGGATTTTTTTATTGTTGCTTACTTACTTACTTACTTACTTACTTACTTAATTAATTAATTAAGATATTTCTGTCCCACCTTTCCTCGTGGTTCAAGGCGGCTTACAAATACCGGTTGAAACATCCCCAGCTAAAACCATATGTGTCTGTGTCTGTCTGTCTGTATATATTATATATATTTTTATGTTGTATGTATTTGCCACCATGTAGCAACCTACTTACGGCAACCCAGTAGGGTTTTCAAGCAAGAGACGTTCAGAAGTGGTTTGCCATTGCCCTGACCTGGATAGCAAAGGCGATCCCGATCTCGTCAGCTCTCAGACGCTAAGCGGGGCCGACTCTGGCAAGTACTTGGATGGGAGACCTCCTTGGAATACCAGCAGTCAGGAGGCGGGGGCAGGCTTTATTCAGCCGCCTCTCTGAATATCCTCCAGACCCGTGGCCAACTTGGAAGCCAGCTGGAACTCCGTTCCTGTGCGTTCCTGCCCAAAAATAGCCCTGTAGTATGTATTTGCCACTGTGTAGCAACCTACTTACGGCAACCTAGTAGGGTTTTCAAGCAAGAGACGTTCAGAAGTGGTTTGCCATTGCCCTGACCTGGATAGCAAATGCGATCCCGATCTCGTCAGCTCTCGGACGCTAAGCGGGGCCAACTCTGGCAAGTACTTGGATGGGAGACCTCCTTGGAACACCAGCAGTCAGGAGGCGGGGGCAGGCTTTATTCAGCCGCCTCTCTGAATATCCTCCAGGCCCCCAGTAGGGGTCAGTCATGAGAGGTCGCCATGACTTCCAGGTGCACACACACACACACTCACACATGCACATACACAACCCCCCTCCCAATAAGTGGTTTGCCATTGCCTGCCTTTGTGTAATGGCCATGGTGTAATGTGGTGTTCCTTGGCACAGCCTGACTAGGACTGACCCTGCTTAGCTTCCGAGATCTAATGAGATGGGGCTATCCCTAAATTTCCCCCTTCCCCTTAAAAGATGCCTGCCAATTCAACCCCCCTCAAAACCCCTGGTGAACAGGCAGGCCTTGCAGCGCCACCTGAAGATCTCCAAGACAGGGACCCCCCCCCTCACCCCTTTGGGGACCCCAGTCCATAGAGCCAGAGCTGTGATGGGAAAGGCCCTGGCTCTTCTTTTTCACCTTCCTGACGCCATTTAAAAGAAAGATCTTGATGCCAACGAGCACACACGCAGAGAAAAGAATGTTTAAAAAATTGAGTGGTACTCTCAACTCTCATTAAATCTGTGTTTGTTTCTCCAAAGGGGCGTGTATACCCTTCCACCAGTGCTGAAACAAGGGAGTACATGTATACCCTGTCAACAAACAGCTGGTTTTCTGACACTGACTAGAAAGCTGGAAGCTATTTATTTACATCATTTCTACCCTCCCTTTCAGTCCCGAAGGGTTCCCCAAGGTGGTTTAAATAAGACAATAAAAGGCAATTAAACTGGGAAGCCATTGTTTATTCTCTTTTTAGTTCCACTTTACCTCAGTCAGTCAGTCATAAAGTCAGTCAGTCTCCATTACAGCCTATAGGCCATTGAGAAGCCGAAAAGAACACTATCATAAAGTTAATTACCTATGTAAAGTCTCTTAAAATGTGAGGGGAATCCCATCTTGCCTTGACGACCCTTTTGAATCACACTTAAGCAACAGTAGGTAGAAAATTGGCCCTTTCCTGCTCCTTGACACATCTTATTGCTCTATAGGGGCCTCCTGCCCAATCCTGGCTGTTCCATACCCTTTCGCGCCACCTTACACGCCAACTGTTAGCAACCAGATGGTCAGCTGACGAGCCGTACCCCCTCTGCACGATTCCAGTCTTCTCGCTGTCCAAGAGCAGAAAGGGAAGAGGGGCCAGTGCCTGAGTCGAGGGGATTGCATGACGTTCATTGGGTGAATGGACGGTGGTGAAGGTCTGAATGCCCTCGTGACTCCTTCCCACTGGGGAGAATTCATTTCCCTTGTAGAGCAGGGCTCCCATTTCTGTAGGCACATTCGAACGTTGGAGTGATTTGCTTAGGCCTGTGTACAGTCTGCGTCTCAGGCTTGTAGCCACAGTGGGGCATTTAGGGGCGGTGCCCCCTCACTCGCAGCCCACACCCCACAACTCCCGGTGCCCCCGCCCTTACCTGCCAGCTGCACTCATTGGCTTTGGCTGCTACGGGAGAAGGAGAGCCGGCCAGTGCAATTAATGTTCGGCGAGTATGCACGCTCTGCTCCTCTCCTTCTCCTGTAGTGGCCAAGGTGAATGAGTGTGGCCGGTGGGTAAGGAAAGACCCTTCTCTTCTTCGCCTGCCTGCTGATGAGATCTCTCTCCCCTCCTCCCCCCCAGATTTCCCAATGCCCTATCACCCAAAATATTCTGGCTACGTCCCTGCTGTGTCTGAAGATCCGTTGTAATTCCAAGAGATCCCCAGGCCCCACCTGGAGGTTGGCAACTGTGATCTTAACACTCTCCTTCCCCCAAAGCAGGGCTATTTTTGGGCAGGAACGCACAGGAACGGAGTTCCGGCTGGCTCCTGAGTTGGCCACGCCCAGCAGGAACTCATTAGCATAATAGGCCACACCCAACAGCAGAAACTCATTAGGATTGGCTACATTAGGGGTGTGTGGCCTAACATGCAAAGGAGTTCCTGCTACAAAAAAAGGCCCTGGGTTTTGACAACAAACAAGGTAAACAGAATAAGAAGCAAAAGGTGGGTGTGGCTGGATGACCACACTTCTGGTAACATGGGGGTGTAACCTAATGTGCTAATGAGTTTTACTGTTGGGTGTGGCCTATTATGCTAATGAGTTCCTGCTGGGCTTTTTCTACAAAAAGAGCCCTGCCCCAAAGTATAAAGCTTTCTTCTGGCCTGAGGAACCTTCCTCTGGTGGAAGAAGCTCTTTCAAGCTCTTTCACGTGGTTTGTTGGGCTATCTACCAGTGCTCCCCCTAAGCTGTGGAGTCTTGTGTGCAAAAATTCTACTTTGTGAGCTACCGGCATTAAAGTTGTGAGTGAGCAATTTGGCTGCTGCATAAATTAGTTTGCTCTGGAGCCACCCTTCCTGAGATCAGACAAAAATGTGAGCTGGAGGCTAAAAAACTGTGAGCTAGCTCATACTAACTCAGCTCAGAGGGAACGCTGCTATCTACTCATACTCTGTTCGGAGACTGTAGCCAAAAAATTCAAGGCATGTTAGAGGGAGGCCCCTCTGATTGTCTTCAGAGAAAGGCATATGGGAGTTATGTAAGAGAGGGAGAGAGTTTAAATCAGATCACGGATGTACACACCCTTGTGTGTGTGGGTGACTAGGGTTACCATACTCCTCCCATGCTAGCATTTCCCGCTACGGCTCTGAGGAGGAAAATAAAATGTAAAAAATGGCCATTGGTCGATGGCGTGGTGTCACTTCTGGGAAAACCTAGAAGTGATGTCATGCCTCTCTAGAAATAGGCTGTAACTCTATGGTAAATCCATGGAGTTGTTTTGATGATTCCTAGAGAAGTGTGAATCCTAACTTGGATGGTCCTGGCCTATACTCCCTCTAAGCTGTGGAGTCTTATGAGTAAAAATTCTACTTTGTGAGCTGTAGGCAATTAAAAGTTGTGAACAAGCGATTTGGCTACTGCAAAAATTAGTTTGCTCTGGAGCCCTCCTTCCTGAACGAAGACAAAAATGTGTGAGCCGGAGGCTAAAAAACTGTAAGCTAGCTCACACTAGCTCAGCTTAGAGGGAACACTGGTCCTGGCTACCCCGATCTCATTAGATTTCGGAAACTAAGCAAGGTCCGCCCTGGCTAGTAATTTGGAGGGAACAGCACCAAGGAAGTCCGGAGTCTCTACGCCAACACAAGCAACGGCAAACCATCTCCATCTCTTGTCTTGAAAACCCCTCCGGGTTGACTTGACGGCACTTTCCACCACCAGAGAGATATGATGTCACTTCCAGATTTTCCCAGAAGCGACAAAAAACAACTGATCCCGCCCCCCCCCCAATGTCACTCCTCACCCCAGGTCAGGCCTGTAAACTCTACTTGCACGTTCCCGACAGAGGAAGGAGC